TTGGGCATGGAAAACAGCACTCTCTTCGGTAAACGATGGTTCGGCATACGTAACACATGTCGCAACCAACGCAGCTTCTGGTGCTGGACACATTCTTCAATGGAAGTACCAGTTACAACCGAAAACGCGCTTTCGTGTGCCCGATGAAGGTAGGGCAAATTCGGATTTGGCATTAATGGCCATTTTGATTTCATGCACACGGTCGCACTACACCGTTGCTGACATGCTCTCTCACACAGACGGGCGCAGAGATTCACATACGTCAATGGTTTCCTCGTGTTGTCCTAATTCATCGCGATTCCAATCTACAGCCCGTGATCGGATTCACTGCGGCGCGTCAATAATAACATCAGTGGTGAACACAGGTAGGTGTTTCACGGCGGTGTGGCCGGACATTGTGTCCAATATCTCCAATGTGTCAGACCGTCTTGACTTTTTCCATTCGACAAATTATTTCGTTGTCCACTAGCTTAGCACACCTGTCGTATCGACTCGCCAACAGGAGGCGGTGCTACCCGGATATGAAACAATGAATCGTTTAAGGTCGCCGATCAAAAACGTAATCATGTGGCACACTTATTCAAAACAATTTACGCTTCTCAAGAAGCCGACCGAAGAAAAGACTTGTCGCCTGTGGGATTTCCACTCAACACATGTCAAATGCGGTTAAGAAATATTCTGATATTTACGCCTAGCAGGAATTTTGAACAAAACTAGAACCTGGCAGATCCAGGTGGAAGCATCCTGCTAAATCTAGTGATATCAGCAAGAGCCCGCGTGAGAGGTAGACAGAAGGAACTTAGAGAATCACCTCTGGTTGCCGGGTCTTGCTTGTAGATCAACAGTTTGAAACAGTCACGCTTAAAAGGCAGCTCTTTTGATGATCCGAAATGAAACTGTCCACGCGTCCGTCACAGCTTAAAAGATCTGGTCTATAGTGCTTTATCATGGCTGGTTTCTGAAGATATGGCTCAAATGATTACTACTCAACCTGTATTAGGTAACTCAGGATGAAGCCCTGTGACAGATTGCACAACAGTTTGCACCGTTTTTGGAAAATGACACCTAGTTTGATAAGCCTGGTAGACAGCCTGCGACTGATCTCCTTAGTTCACAGCAGAGTGACTGGACTAGTGAAGTTTTTAACTACTTTCTTAGGAAGTATTCATAACATGCCTTCTGCCTCCTGTGGCCTGCCAAACAAATTAAAAACTGCATAGTACGCAGTGTCCCTTGTTCCTTACCAGGAAATTTTTCAGAAATGTTCTCCAGGACTCCTGCTTCCGCGGTCTCCCGTTTAATAGATACCGAATTTAAAAGGACCTTATGCACTTTATGTGTTGGATATGATAGATATCCAGGTCATGTGCGCATCAGACCAAAGGTCAAACAGAAGCCACTGATCCACTAGTTCGACGGGTGCGGCGTACAAGCTGGATATCCTTGGACATGACAGTGACCCGTTTGGCATGAATAGCACACAAGTTAGTGTCCTCAAAGAGACCAACCAAGCAAAAATCACTGGCTTATTGTAGAGCAGAGACGGTAGAGCTCTAAAATCTGAGGTCGCTCTTGAAGTATTGAAGGCGTTGGAAGGACAGTTTACGGATGAGCAGCTCCTTGGACTTCCGGTAACGGCGGATCGCAAGGAGAGTGACGGTCCTAGGCCTGCAGCGACGGGGTTTCTTCACACCGCCGGTGGCGGGTGCACTCTTGGGCGCAGCCTTATTCGCGAGCTGCTTCCTGGCTTCCCGCCAGTACTATCACGGACAGTCTCTTTGGTGCGTGCCATCTCTGTGAAAAATCCATGAATTTTGCATATCTGTAACACACGAACCAGATAGGTAACCCAGGCGGAAGGGAACCAGACTGAGTGACTTCACCCGTTCAACTCCCAACTCTTCCACACAACACACATTGCAGCTTTCTGGTCGGTCTGGACTATGTCACACACCCGAGTCGACACAAAACGAAAATTATAAACTGCAAAAACTCACTACTCAAACTCCGCTGCAGAGAGATGATGCCCATCAACGAGCACAGGACAACGATAGTACCGACCACGATGGTAGACAGCAATGTGATTGGAATCGGATAGGTGGATTAGTTTATCTTTTTCCACACAGGGTATACGTGTTGTGTTGAACGGGCGCTCGTACTGCCAAGAACACAGTGGTACAAGTTTGTTCACCAGAAGTGGCTCCAACTAATGAAAGGGGAACATAGAAAAACGAGCAGGTGGGGTCACACAACGAAGTAGGGATGTACAACGTTACAACACAAGTCTCTTGATGTCATTTCCATCAGTATCGCGGTATAGTTGGACTCAGTGAAACCACAGCATTCTGACTGGTACGGTGCATTGGAGTCGTCATGGGGGTTTCAACTGCGAACACAAACGGGAAGTTTGCCACTTATGCCAATCAGATTGGCATTATACGATCAAACAAGAAGTCTCGTTGGTAACGTTAATACTACAGAACAACCGACCAATCGTTCCCGTAACGCACAGAAGAATGGCACCAAGGTCCTACATTTAGTTCAGAGAGTTGAGATGAAGGGAGGGCAAACAGAAACTTAGTACGACATGACTTGGTGCTGGAACAATTTACCAGCTCACAAGACCTGCAATGTACCGGATCCAATCTGTTATAGGGGGCGACGACAGTTAGATAAAACTTACAAAAGGTGAAGATCTCCAGATCCATGGAAATATCGAAGAAAAACGGAAGCAGATGTGGCTATCTAAGCTACTTCTGTTGATGAATCCCCTTTCTGAAAGCAGCACGCCTCCACGTATCAGCTCGACTGATCTAAAACCATTCTCCACAAGCTTGCCAGTTCCACACCTATTCGATGAACACTAGCACGCTTGACGATTTCTACCACCTCGGCCACCACTCTTTATGGCGTTAACTGTTGTCCTTGTTTCAAAACCCCAACTTTTTCTAAACGTATTTTGTGTCCCGTGTCCATTGCACGTTCCGTCATTGCTGAGTCTGTCAGTGACGCTCGGTATTCATCTGCATTTTTGGCGACCTGTTCACTTTTCTCCTGTGCTGTCCGATTCTGATGCGAAGTTCCCTGGACGTTTGTCTTATATAAACCACAGTGCAGTCGTACACTTAATTTTATAGACACAGTCCCTGGTTCTGTTCACCGTGCGGCGATCCTTCAAGTAAACCAGTGCATAGGAAAAAGTGTGTTTCCCTTCTGGAAAGCTATTCTTATATTAGCCGTGTTTAGAATCCTTCGAAGAATTTCAATGTTCCTGGTTTATATGGAATAACAGCAGTCCCAATCCATTCTTTGGTGAGTTTCGCTACCAGTACTAACACCCTTCGTAATCGACGAGTAATCAAACTAAGTAGATATAAATAGCTAATAAAAATAATCGATCAGATGTAGCACCCTTTCGGTACCTAGTGCCGTGCAAATGGATGGAGGCAAGAGGGCTGGGATACTGCCAGGTTGCCCAAGTTATATGTCCACTACACCGAAGTTTTTTTCTTTAACTCTTGTCCTTGGGCAGTTGTCCGGTCAACGTCCTCAGTGCACAGGGCCCTTCCTCAGCCAAATATTGGTGAGGCAATACTAGAGAATACCGATTTTGGATGGGCTAGTTCATTATTGTAGAAGTTTCATTCCCAAAATCACCTGGCGTAACCTGAAACAGCTGATCGGATGATTCGTACAATGTTTTGTAGAAGTTGGTCGGTCTTCTGCACATGGAGGCTGGGCCTCTGAGACAGAATACTATTCAACACTATACGACGGCAAATCCTTGGTTGATCAAATGATGTCAGCTACGTGTATGTCGGATGTCCACTAAAGTTGCTCCAACCCTCTCCAATTCAACATGTGATCTCTTCCATCATCAATCATTCGGGACTTACAAAACAGTAAGCGAATTCGTCCAAAACAGCGATTGGCTGATTTCAGCACGTAATTTTAAGGTTGGATCCTACCGAGACTTGCGGCAGATTAAGCTGAACCGTGTGAAGCACCCACTGCTTCATACACCAGAGGTATTGTGCTTATATAAACGGAATGAATTCCCGGATGATAGGATGCAAATGTGTAGTACAGCCAACGTCAGGGAACGATCGGTGAAGGATACAGGCGAAGTAGGCTCATTTGCACGGGAGACTCAACCGAATCCCAGCTGAGACTTTCATCTGTGTTATTCTTCAGTTGAGCTCATCTCATAGTTCAGCGGCTACGATATTCGAGATAATGCAGTACATACTGTTGGAGAAACACCAATCATAAGGCTACTGAAAACAGGTCGTGGGTTGTTGAACAGTCTTCAGCAACCTTATGAGTAGCGCTCCTTCTAAGGGAGCTTGTATTTTAGAAGGAAATTTCATCGTTTATACTTAGATCTGTTTTTTTGAGACAGAGGTGAAATCCGGCTTGATATTCACCATTCTGTATTTTTTGGGCGTTAGTAGCGCTTATATATTCTCCTCTTCACCTTTGTTCTTTTCAGCCAGCAGCGTCACCACAAGGTCGTTTGTGAACGACAGATATTACCAGCGAAAGTATCGGAGCTGCCAATGTTTCGACACACTGTATGAGAGAATCCTTTTGTACGCAATAAAGATAATTTGCGGTTCAAGGGAGAGGGGTAACAAGAGATAATCACAACCTTTTTCGGACCAATATTTTCATATTCCCAAAAAACAGACACATGGAGGTTAGTTACTCTATCAAACGACTTTGTTAGAATAAACGATCAACTTTCATAGAGGAAACTACTCACAAGTTTGCTGAAAACTCTTCGACAGCTCACAATCAGTTTTGCCCTTCTTGGGGCTCATCAGGTAGGAGCAGACCCCGAGTTTCCGTCAAACTCATTTTCTACTTGGTCGGATCTCGATAAATACACTCATTTGCAAATCAACTTGATTTTTATGAGAGACAACTAAATGTGCTGCACACCGGCCGCCTCATGTTTCAGTTGGTACGATATTCCAGATAGCACAGTATGTCTTCATAAAGGAAACTACTTGCAAGGTTGCTGAAAATTCTTCGACAACCCCCGACCGGCTTCGCACTTTTTGTGGCTCACCAGGTAGACACAGTCCCCAAATTGATCAGAACGACCAACCTATTGCTAGCATTGGTTCACATTCTTCCAAAAGTCAACCATATTGTCATCTGAAAGGCCGCGATTTTGAATCCACCGAGTAAACTTTGACCAACTGTCATTACAGAGAATGTGGGGCTTACATTGTTTGAGAATTGAATTGTTTTCAGGAACAGAGTAATTTGTGACAAGTAGGCAAATGTGTGGCATGACACCACTAAAAAATTTCTCAGCTGTAGCACCTTTTCGGTGCCAAGTTGCCATACCAACTGAAGGAGGCGAGAGGGCTGGGATACTGTCAGGTTGCCCAAGCCTAGACAGGAGTATTCGAGATGCTGACGTTGGATTCGAACCACGGACCTTCCAGTCTGAAAGCTGGCGCCTCAACCACTTAGCTATCTTGAGCTCAAAAACACCTGTACAACGATCGCTGACCTGACACTTACCTAGAAGAGGCGTAAGGTGTGTTGTAACCAAACATTTATGCATTAATTTTAGATTACCTCTCAATAGGTGAGGAAAGATGAGCACGTGGTTTTCTGCAGAAACGTGGCAAATCACTTTATAAGGGCCATATAGCTCTCCCTCTCTGAAAAGTTCGATTCTACTGGTCTTGATCCGGGTCAATCCCCTAAGGTCGTCTTTTCAGGGAGGGGCGTTGGCGAGAGTAACTGTACTAAAAGGATACACAATGGGGATGGTCTTTGTACCGGCGTGTTAGTGAACCCATAACTTTTACGCTCGCATTTAGCTACTGAAGTGAAGAAACCAAGCTGCACGCGAAGCACACCTCAGAATGTTGACTCAAAACAGCCTCCCACAGATTGGCAAACCATTTTTCTGAGTAACAGATAGCCGAATTACAGCGCGTGAAGCAGAATGAAGCACAAAACATGGACTTACTTCTTCCCTGGTAATCTTCTCGCGCACCTTCAGAAACAAGTAGGTTAGCAGGGCGGCACGAGCGGATTGGGTGGGTCGGACCGCACGAGTGAACTTCCACTGCACACCGTAAAAGTTGCTGTTGGCCATTATCGGCTCACGGCTGGCCAGATACACGTAATCCTCCCACCAGTCAGTAACCTTGAAGAGGGAGGGAAGGTGGGAAAGGGCACGTCATCCTTAATGAACTTTTTGTGACCTTTCCGCAAAGACAAACGACCACCATAGCTTCGAATGAGCAAGAGACTTTGAAGCAAGAAAAATAACCCAGTTCTGAAAATTAGGAATCACAGAGTAACTACGGTTTTCGCATTGTCGGCGACAAAGTTTGCTGCATAGCCCTAATGTGGAAAAGAAGCAAGGAACAGACAAGGAATGGATCAGCTGATAGACTACCACAGTGACTTTGAGGTGTCTACACTTCCAACTACTCGCTCAGACAAACGTGATTAAAACTGATAGCAAGGACTCCGATGATATTGTTTGGCCAACACTCAAGTAATTTCCTTCTTACTCTTCTGCTAACGCAAATTTTATCATTCTGGAGGGAACATAAAGAACAAGGTCTTCTAAACAGACGGTGATTAGACAAACGCCGACCCCCTCCCAAGGAGGCATCTGCTGTACCGCCAACAACCAGTTTCCCGAGCAGCTCGTTACGAATTCGCTGGCCCTCCCCAACACTAGTAACAGCAACAAGGGCCTCTGATCCCCTGATTCGCAGAAACCGTACAACAATGCCCTTATTCTAGTCCGGTGCACGCGACAACTTGAGAGCCAATTATAAAATTTTTAACACCACGATTGGTGCGAATTATCCAATGCGTGATTCGGGCGTTTGAAGTGCAACTTGTTGAGCCAATACAATGGTTGAGATGTGAAGAGTGCCCCACTGCCTCTTGCGATTCCCCCTGAACTGTGTTCAAAGACGGTAAAAGTATGATTTCGCACCGTTACTTCAAAGCACCCGCAGTTTCTGTTACTCTTAAGGGAAGATCAATCTCATTTGTGTGCTTCAGACCGAGGGGCTAACCAGTTAAAATACGACCACTGAGGAGTTTACAGACAACCGCCATGTTATTTGTTTCATGACAAAGTTGAACACCACTTTTGTGAGGAAACTTTCCAAAGCCCTTTATCTGCTCTCAGTTATATCTAAGATTATGCAAATACGAGAACGATAAGGTGCTGACAAACTCCTACTAAACAAGCTTGGTTAGGATTGTTTGACCAGTTGTGTTCAGTGTGCCCTTAGAGTCAAGGGTCAGATATAGATATGGAACTTTTACGACGTCCGGGGAATTGTGAAAACGTAGTGGACAAAATCTTTGTCGGGCAGAAACTCTGCTTTTCGTTGGCAAATCAAGGTTTCGGGCGTGCGACGTCGAAGAATAAGGAACCGGTGACGCTGAGTCTTGTAACGAAGCCGGGCTGACGGCTCTGTCGTGAACATATTCACAACCAGGTATTGTTTTTTCAAAAGACCCTAATTGTAGAGCACAATCTCTTTGGTCCAGAGAGACAGACAGAAAGTAACCATGAAAGTCACTTAAATCATAAGTTCAGTAATGCACTGAAGAGGTATACTCATACTTCCTTTACTGAAGATTTTTCTGTGTCTGCAGCGCACGTTTCTGTTACACATAGACAGTCTGAGTAGAAAGAAGGTGAGAAACTGAATTGTTGCTCGAAACATTCTGTTTAATAGCCTTAGTGAATGAATCTCTGGCATGAATCTCTGAGGACCTGGTGTATTACTCGAATCGGACAAGCTGCGCACAGTTTTTTTTTACTTTTTGCGCATCTTCGGCTCTCTCAATCCACCATCATCATCATGACATCATCAGCACGGCATCCGTGTTCAAAACCGATGCTTCGCTGCTGTACAATCATAGTTTATTTGAAGGCCTTATTGTGAAGAAAAGAGTAGAGGTGGACGGGAGAGGGACTTAGTGCTAGCTTACCACAATCATTCCGAGGTACTTACACCTCCAGACACTCATTCAGTCAGTCTGAATGGAAACTGACAACAAGAATGCCACTGACATCGGTTGGAAGGCATGTCTTGCACCGCAGTGAGGATCACGCGGTCCCGATCCTGGAAGGCGAGTAGCACCGACAGCTCCCAAGCGTTTCGTAATCTCCTTCATACTCCTCTGCCAAGTCAAGGGTCACCTCTCTGTTTACGCCACTCTGAATTGGGCATGGAAAACAGTACTCCCTTCGGCAAATGATGGTTCGGCATACGCAACACATGTCGCAACCAACGCAGCTTCTGGTGCTGGACACATTTTTTAATGGAAGTGCCCGTTGCACACCCGAAGACTCGACGATCAAACATGACGAACGTGGTGGAATAGGATGTCCTGAATACACCACAGTCTCTCTCTATCTTGATGGATAGATCGTTTCCATGTGAATCTGCTTATATTTTCAAGTTAGAAGCTGAATAACCCTCCGAACACGAGAGCAAATTACCAAAAGACTACTCAGTAAAGAGCTTACAACAGCTCCCCGGTTAACTGTTATTTGATGTGTGAACACTCAATAGGAAGTAAACATATCAGTTGCCCTCGGTGTCTCATCTTTGCCAGGGGGAGTATTACTGTAAGACGCCAAGCTTCCGTAAAACATGAAATAAAAACTCCAAACAGCCATTCCGGTGTGCTGGAGAAAAAGCTGGTTCTGTTTTTATATGTCAGCTCGAAAATGGCATCGCCACCAGACGTGCGGATCACGGGCGCCATTTTTAAGATACACATCTCAGTACACATTGTCTGCTATGTGAAATCCGGCCAGCTGGGGGAACCAAGTGTGCGGTTTAATCACATCACACATTTGGGGAGCAACTTACATAATTGCTGGTGAACCAAGTTTTCATCCATAGGAAAAACTGAAGTTTTCGACCTGGTCCCTTTCGAAACTGTTCCGCCTGTCGTACTCGCTCCTCATACTCCTCGGCTGGCAGCAAGTGCCGCACCGAAAGTAAGTACTAATTGGAGGAAACCAAGATAAGCTAGTTACTGGGTGGTTTGAGGTGCAATTAAAAAAACAAAGATGACAAAATGTATTTTCCATTCCTTACCTACAATGGTCGTGTACCCTGTAGGCGCACGGGGAACCAAGGGTGTCGTCATCATCATCATCATCATCGATAGCATGACATGAGTGTTCAACACCGATGCTTCACTGCCGTACAACCAGGATTTATTTGAAAGCCATATTTTAAAGAAAAGAGTAAAGATGGACGGGGAAGGGACTTAGTGCTAGCTTAACACAATCATTCCGAGGTGCCTACACCTCCAGACATTCACTCAGGCAATCTGGATAGAAACTGAAAACAAGAACGCCACGGATATCTGTTGGCAGCCATATCTTATAGTGTCTCCAGTCAGGCACAATGAGGATCACGCGGTCCCGATCCTGGAAGGCGAGTAGCACCGACAGCACCCAAGCGTTTCGTGATCTCCTTCATACTCCTCTGCCAGGTCAAGGGTTGGACACCTCTCTGTTTACGCCACTATGCGTTGGGCGTGGAAAACAGCACTCTTCGGCAAGCGATAGTTCGGCACACGCAACACATGTCGCAACCAACGCAGCTTCTGGTGCTGGACAAATTCTTCAATGGGAGTGCCCGTTGCACAACTGAAAACGCGCTTTCTTACTGCCTCGTTACGGATTCACCGACACCAACCCACATGAGACAACGATTGTCGAACACCTAAAGACGTCTCAGTTCCGCTGCTCGAATAGGCCAAGTTTCACAGCCATACAACAAAACAGCCGATACTGTAGCACGATGCATATTACCCTTGAGATTCAAGGATAAACCACTGTGACCCAATAGGCGTCTCAAATGAGCAGGATGTGAGGAAACTTTTGTGTTGGGCATAAAATAAAAATTAGCCATCTAGCGAGAAAGCACCTCTGATTATTGAGCGTAAATCTGACATGAACACCAAGAGTATTAGAACGGTCACACCAACCACAGAAAACAAGCCTTGTTCGCTATCTTCCTTCTTAAAATAATCGTTCGGAGAAAATCTAAACCGGAAAATGCTTCCCATAGGATAGAAGTGCCTGACTAACGATAACGAAAGTCTATAGACTCAAGTTGTCTCCAGAAAGACAATGGTCTTCACATCCTAAATCTTTCGCGGGCTATTGCAGATGTTCATAGACTAGTATAAAATCCACTGGTGTTGGTTCAAATGTATGTCAGAAAAGGGGCAAAGAGAAGTGCACAACAGAACAGAGTTTAGGGATCGGCTGAATACTAGGAATAAAGACCGAATCTACATTTCACACCAAACCCCCTGAAGGGCAACCCTCCTCGTATCTTGGCATCCATCAATGCTACAATAGTCTGATTTCATTTTTGCCCAAATATCAAGAACTTGTTAAGCATAAATAACAACTTTCATGAATGGGAAGCGAACATCTGATGCTGCTATTTCAGTCTTCACGTGAACGACGTGTTCCGATTGCTGCGATCAACTTCGATTCATTTTCCATGGTTGATTCGTGAGTGTCTGATCACTACTCTAGTACCTGTATGTACAGTTATTCAAGTACTACCACTGAACAAGATGTAGCTTAGCCCAAATAGTTGATAGCCCGATAATGTGGTCCCACAACAGCAGGTGGTATTTCTAAAGCCTGTGCAAAGTGCTACTACGAGACTGAGTGGGACCAAACCCACAGGTGAACATGGGCAGCTGTATAAGTTTCGGTGGACTGACTGAAGATAAGATTATTTCTCGAATCGGAAGGCCAGAGCAGCTTTTGCCAAACTCCGACGCATATGGCGCAGACGTGACGTGAGTTTCTCTGTCATGGGAAGAGTTTACAATGATCTGGTGCGATGCGTAATGCTTTATCGATAAGAAACGTGGCCCCTATGCGCAGAGGACATACGGAAGATGTCAGTGTTTGATCATCGACGTTTCCGAAGCATTGGTTAGGTCTGGTGAGAACATCGAATTAGTAATGCTGAGGTACGCCAAATGGTCTTGAGGAGAAGGAACTCTCCCGCGATAGATGAATTACCCACACTTCGTAGGTTGCGCTGGTTGGGGCATGTACTCCACATGCCAGAAGACCGTCTGCCTCACAGAGCTCTTTTTATTCCCAGCCCTGTGATGAGTGGAAGCGACCGAGAGGTGGACAGTGTATGAACTGGTAACGAAGTACGAACACACTAGCCAGTAAACTTAGTCGGGTGGGCAACTGCCACCTTCGTGGATTGGGACCCCGGGACTTTAATTACCATTGATAAAAATGGCCCAATTGCTCAGTAAGTGGCGCTACTGCACCAAAGCTCTCACCTTCAATGCGTAGCTATCCAATTTCCGAACAAACTGAACATGCCTTCGCCTCCAGGGCTTGGTTTTATGTTCCACTCTCCCATTTTCCTTTGATCGAGATCGTAGCAGCCGGAACCAATGTGTCCACGACAAATGGATTATGACTGATAAATTCAATTCACTGATTGATAAGACATCAGTGCTAACACTGATGTTTCTGTCTTTGATGATGATGATGGTGACGATGATGATGCTTTTCGATATGTCACAGACATCTAGCCGGTGTCGTACACGATTTCTGGTTCCACCACACCTTCCCTGTTACGGACGCTGCAGCTTTACGGTAAAAGCGGTACACGTTGACATCCTCGTAACTCTCCTGATACAAATGCCACATCTTAATCCCCACCATAGCAGTTAACTTCTCTTGTTGCCTTGATTCGGACTATTCATGTCCAATCTTCAGTCAATGATATTTCACAGTGCTCACAAGATTTTCGAGTTTGTGAGACAGTACGCACTTGACATGTCAACCTTTCTATCCTATTCTTGTATTTCGCAATTGTGTCGTGTTCTCAATTTTATTATGGCAACAAGTTTGAAAATTTCGGTGCCAAAGATTGCCGCTAAGGGTGAACGCTTGAACAACTTGTTCCAACAGATACCTATCACTGGTCACCAGTCCACCTAAAGCTATGCACAATCAAGAGGGGGGGGGGGGGGGTGGCAATCACGCAGGTGGTTCATGTGTGATGACCCAGTGATGAATTTCAGTTTGCCAGCAGTTTCGTATTTGCAACTTCATGCCTAAATAAGTTGATGCTCACACAGGTCAAACCTCCCTAGATCCCAAATCAGAACAATTGGGATTAGACCATACACAAAAAACGGAATTTCTGAAAGATCAGGTTGTAGAAACGCGTGGAAAAATGTAAGGTAAAGATTACTGGATTAGTTGGGCCCTCACTCGATCAGTTGTATCCCGGAGACTCGGCAAAGGGAGATTCGGCAGAGAGTACTGGTAGCCATAAAGTCGTGGGTGTTTGGACTTGAAGAGAATTACTAGGTACTGAAGAAGAAAGAAGAAAAAACTCCAGGTAACAAAACAAAAACGAAGCTTGAGGGGAAACGTATTTCATTGAGCAGTGCGTTGCCAAAAGCAAAGTAGCCGTTCATCGCCGCGATAAGTACTGGTCAACGGTAAGGGAAAACATTGCACGGCGACTGGTCCTAATACCATGAATTGGGATTTCTTAATAGACAAAAGAGGATGACCTGTTCATCACACTTAACGCGGCTTTTACACATTCGTTTCACGAAAAACTCGGTTGCGTCCTCGACCTGACAGTGTCATTACGTTAGGCTGTAGAAGCCTTTACAACGACACAATTTTCCGTGACAACCAATGTCAATAAAGGCAGTGAGCTTGATAGTTATTAATATACAAATCTACGGATCAGGAAGTCCGTGATTCGAACCCAAATCCTGCATCTCGATTGCTCCTAGCAAGGTCTAGGTAACCTGTCAGTAGCTCAGCACCGAAATGGCGTTGCAGATAAACTATTATTATCACACTTTTAGGAAGATTTAACCATCTGTTCTTAGTCCAGTTGGACCAAAAAACGACCCCATCAAAGTAACCTTACCAGGTGGAGAGGAAACAAGGTCTAGCAATCGCCACCAGGCGAAGAGAAGTATATATACTATTCTATTTGGTTGCTGACTTGGCTATAACAATCTGCTCAGTACTGAATAGTCAGCTTGTATGTCGAAGTAGAGGCCAATTTCCTAAAATTTACGATGCATACCAAACCAAAATTCTCGAGTTTTATGACCGAGTCGAACAGATTGTCCCAAAGACAACAGCTAACACAAGATAACCCCCTCACGAAATTTAGTTCATCAACCTTTAATTACTTAGTCAAACAGTTAATTATTAATTAATTATTATTAATTATATAGTCAATCAGTCATATATTCGAAGCCTTGGAAGGAAAATGAAAGAGTAGTTGAGAGAAGGGCTTGGTGGGATATCTGCACCTCCAAGCGCTCAGTCAGGCGATTCGGACAGCATTGTCTCCAGCCAAGCATGGGGTGGTAACGAGGATCTAATCCTGGAAGGTGGACCACACCAACAACACACTCTGCTACTAAGTCACATGATATCCTTCTCGCGGCCTACGTCGTCCTGAAGAGGGCATACAGAACAACACTTGTCCCAGTGGACAATTTTTGACATGCGTAGTATATGATCGAGTCACCGTAAATTGATGTTAGTGAATGTTCTCCGCGAATAAAGCACCTGCTCTGCGCATCCAGACACCCATTTGCCAACTATGGCGTTATGAATTCATTGACTCCACTAGCACCGACAACGTTTTGAAGACATCACTGGTCAAGAACTTGAAGGTGCCTCACCTCATCTGATCACAGATGCCATGTCTCGCAACCATAAAACAGAACAGCCTGACGCAAACGGACTGCCTCTTTTAACTGCAGTGATTTTTGTACAGGAACAGACAAACCAATTGCTGGTGAAGTGGGACAATGAGGCTTAGTCATTCAAGACGATCGTGAAGTGAACAGTGACAAAATTTTACGTTCTTAACTCACCATCCACAACATGTCATACCAGTTTGTCCGTTTCCGGGATGCGTACATCCACCCTGTGTAACTGAACAAGATACGTAGCACAGCTTTATTCAACAGCGAACCGGAGAACCAAAGAAATAGGGAGAACAGCAAACATGCGGGGACGTGGTAATGGCGCGTGATGCCCATATAACTGAAATCGAAAGAAAAAAGGCGTGGAGTCATCTTGTCGGGAGTGCGCGCTGCACGAATAAATCAATTAATAATGGCGCAGAATTAAACACGTCACATCAGAAAGCTTCACAAAATCTATGTTTGACCTTCTACTGGTGTTCTTGAATTCCAAGTGACTTGTGTCCATGAAAAAAGAAACGAAAACAAAACGTTAGACGAGAGGAACACGCGAAATAGGAATAGATACTCGAAACTTGTGCTTCTTTCATCGGAACAGAACAGAAATGGCCGTTGTCCGCTAGTTAAGCCCGGAAGCATGAATTTGCGCACCTCAGTCCTTTTGTCAGCAGGCGTGTTCAGTTTATTCGGCCGTTTATGAGAGTACTAGTGACAAGCGTTTCACGAAATGAGTGATACACGCGCAGTCAAATAATTAACAGTTTTCAAACGTATTTACAAAAAACAAGCCTGTAGTGCAAGTTGTCCTGACCAGAGTCAGTTGTTCAAGCAGGTTCTTCGGTAGGGAGTCTGAAAGATACTTCTTCAGATGCAAGCGAAGCTGCTGTGTAGAACGGAGCAGTTGACATAAACACAACCTTGATCATATGAAGCTTTACTCTCAAAAATCTGAACACGGACTCACCTCTGTAAAATATCTTCCAAGTACAGTATGGGGATGCCACAGGGCGACTGCCTGTAATCCGGATGCAGATATATGCCGGCGAATACAGTGAAGGCGAAGTAAAACCAACTCGAAGGATGAAATGGGTAGACTTGGTTGTAAATTGAGTTCTATTGGGAGGGAGGGAGGAAGGGATCAAATGTTTTCAAGTTTCAAACCTTAAACCGTATTAGGCGCTTCCTTCCGGCTACTAAGCCGGACTTGATTACTGCCTCGATCGCGTGTTTGTTGATATCGAAGGCTATTCCTTCAGAGCTGACAGTAAAAGTTAAAGCAACCGCAGCATGGGCTTCCGCCATTCTTTGGCTCCCAAGTCACCGTTCAATTGGATCGCACAACGTGTTGCACTAGGACAAGGCTCACGCAGATAAGCAAACTTTGCTTGTCGAACAATGCGCCTTTAAAAAGAAAGTGGTATGAAAACAATGGGGAATTACGTGAGCGTCTACTATTCCTAACCACTGGTTTGAAATTTTGATTTGTCCAATGGATTCGACAACTTGTCAATCTCAGGTGCTACAAATGAGATAGAAAAAAGACTCGGTTAACATATGAAAGACCCGGAGACCCAGGATATGTGGTCTCACCTCGGTATCACCTTAAACTGCCTTCCCTTTCAAAAATGAATGAATCGGACGCTCACCTCCAATGGTAAACTCAACAATATCCGGCGTCAGGTAGTTTATTTGTATACTTGTGGTGGAAAATGGACTGAAATAAGTATGGCCTTTTTGGTGCTCTAAGTCCACAGTTTTTCTACACAATCTGTTCTTTCACACTTTCCTCTTGTAAAGGTTCCTTCTCATGCCTTGTGGAATTCAACTGGTACTTTTCGGTCGGCGATATCACTTCTAAAGCCCTGAAAATTGGTGTCGGCAATTGTTCTATGGTAATCCTCCTTTGGGTGTTGGATAGTGGTTCATCAAAAGTGCTTGTTGAAATCCTGGCGTAGTTCGATGGACACGTAGATAGCGGTCAATCTGGTAACGGCATGGGGGCCCACCCATTACTGAGTAGTATGGCTTTACTGCCGCTTCATAGGGTAAATAGTATTTGGTCGGTGAACTTATAAACCAGGCCGTCACGTGAAGCATTAAGAAAATGCCTGTGTCCACTTGCTTGGGTACTTTTGAGTATGTTTTCATAAGCGGCTGAAATAATGCTTCTGGTGGTTGGACCGTTTCCTTGTAAGTGTGGGGGTGCTGAAGTGCTCCGAAAATTCAATTAATGCAGCCCAGGAACAACTCCAGTAATTGATGAATGCATTTGTCACAGTGACTGAATTGGCTTGGCAGTGGCACTGCCTGACATAGCCTTTTAGATATCACACCAGCATCAGTATGTGTCTTTTCCACCACAGAGTTCGTCCATCGAACGAATGACATCTGTCCTCTACCATATGATTTAGGTAACCAGTTCTCACTGTTTTTGGTGGCGCCATATTTCTGTGAATCATCTGTTTGAGAAGTCTACAGGTTGCAAACGATGACAAAGCCTGTGTTGGAGCTGTTTTCAACAACCACCGCGCGTGACGTATACTAATTCAGTTACGCCATAACGCCCTACTTCTTCAAACAGACTTCTAAGTACGTCCGGAGTAACATACTGCCACGGCGAGTAAGGACATATAGATAGGCTTGTACCCTATATTTAGGTCAAACAATATGAGCTTCATATTATCAGAATGAACAGAAATAAGTAAACAGCTAAAGATGGTGCTTTGGCGTTAATCTACTATAAAACCTTGAAGGAGTTTAGCGGCAATAAAAGGTGATATGAGGGAGCCTTCGCTTACCTATCATTCTGCAACACGTAAGATAGGAAGGCACAATGCGACGGTCTTGGTTGTATTTGGGCTGAATACTTCCGGGGTATCCGAACCTACTGAGTGGGGTAGCCTTGCTTGTTGCGTACAACAAGCGGGTAAGAAAAACACAGACTACTGCTGAAGTCACACGGCAATGCGGAATCAGTGTTGGACACTAATTCTGATGAATATTATAATGGCACTAAGAAGCAGGTGGACCACTAAGAGGTATAAAACATGGTTCAAAGGTCTATCCACAAGGCAGTGGTGGTTGGCGTTTGACCGTCACAGCAGCCTACACTTTTAAGGAGCAAGTCGCTAAATAGGATTAAACCTCCAACCTGGGGGGACTACGAATACCCACGTCAGTCAGACTTCTACCTACTTACCGACCTGCTATGTGAGACCCTGTAAGCGTTACGGTATATGCTCCTCAATAGGTTAGATAAATACACAAACTATCACACTTCGTTAAGTTCCAATGAGTATGTCAGTTACAGAGGAATACGTCTGATTCTGCGCACTTTTTACGGAAACGGAGCCCATGAGCAGCCACGAGGATCCATGAAGGGATAGATATGTGGATCCCATCTACACACTCCCTCAAAAGTTGAAGTAGCGACATGCTTATTGGCATTCCACAACCTTGTTGGTTAGTGACTTTAGCAGTACTTGTGATTCTGTCGACTAATCCGTTTGTAAACCATTCAAAACCGTTGAATAAGTGAGTGGGTGCAGAGGATTTATGAAGTCCATTTAAGGACTCTCTGTAGAAGAAAAATAAATTTCGATGTAGCAGCGACGTGAACCACGAAGAAAGAGCTCCCACGACTGATTATGTGGTTCAAGATTGTAAGAGACAGTCTAAATACAGCATTTCACCTGGATTTGGAGGAGGAGGTGAGTGTTTGTTATATCAGTGCACACAATGGTGCGTAAATGGGAAAAGAAAAGCCTATCTGAGAGAAGTGAGTTGCTGAGTGACGGTATTGGCTCTTCACCTATCCAATAGCAACTCTCCCGCACATTCTTATCATGCTCCAACGAGGAAATAANTCGAGGGTGGCAAACATGATATGAGAACTGGGTGATAAGTTACGCTGATATTTCAAAGGGCAAGAACAAGAGAGAAAAATGACCTTTCCGCTTGCCAATTTCTATGACTGAGGGTACAGCATGGAGTGAGAATGATTGAGTGTGGTTTAGACCGGTGGTAATCAACACACAGCAGGGTATGTGTTTAAGTGGAGTCACTATTATAGGCTGTAAAAGACATGGGTATGATGTTTAGGGAGTGGGTGGAAAGTCTGAATCAGGATGATAATTTCCGGATGACTGTACCACGATGACCCAAATGGCAGAGCACGTCTGTTAGCAGTACAATCGCACTGACGACAAATTACTCACTTTGGGGCACACACCGTCCAGGATTGCAGACGCTGACGTAAAAAGCACTTAATCAAACCTCACAGTCATGGCTGTTTATGTTCCCACATCTTTGACGAATCTTTCTGTCAAAGATAACAAAGAGTGGTCTTTCGCACACTAAACTACAATATCCTGATGGTCACCGTTGACTGAAACATGAGATCTAGTGGTTAGGACGACAATGCTCGTCAGAGAAAATTTGGTCTTGAACAAACCCAAAAAACGCTTAATGACTGGTCAGCTTTGTCACTTTTAATAGCGTGTTTTCAGCGCGCAAGGAAGCATCTACCCTCCCGGTAAACCGAGGATGGTTGCACCGTTTCCAAAATATATTGAATAGTTATGGCAGCCAAATAAGTATCGCTTGCTGCAGACTGTGGGTTCTGTAACGCAACAAAAACAGGGAATAAATGCACCTCAGCCCACATCCTCCTACGTGCAAGGCATCATCTTGCAGCCAGGTACAGACGACTTCTCATGTAAAATATCAATGCGATCCACCTTGAGGATCTTGAAGAGTGTCCTGAACCCTACAGCGTAGTGACCAGTTTGTTTGCTGTTAAGTTGCCACTATCTTGGGTCCAGGCGACCCATATAAAATAATTTCACTCCATTTAAAGATATCCATACAACAAGCTGCCTTGTCGGGCCTTTTATTCGCAACGTGGCGCCACATCGACTCAGACTTTGAAAAGAACCATCCACCTCCTCTTCCAGTTGCCGGTGTACGTAAGGTCAGCGCTTCCGGTTTCCACCAGGCCACTCATCAAGTCAGAAGTGTTCACATGGGTTACTGTCTATACGTGGATTATAGCATGAAAACAGCTGCAGATGTCCACGAGTATGTAAAACTTTCCCGGTTAACCGTTTAAATGACATGGCCATGGTATTGAAAAACCATAGCTACTTTATCTGATTTTTGGAGGGAACTGCCTAAATTGAATAATATGAGGCCAATACCGCAAATAGGACGGACTGGTACTAATTTGGTGTGGCTGGATCATGCTTCTTTGTCCTTCAGCCGCTACTTTAGCAAAGATAGGAATGCACATATGAATCTCGGTCATTCGGCGATGAGACCAGGAGTATATGAAATGGCTGATCTTAGGTAATGTAGAAGGGTTTCCGTAGTAGAAATGTTTTTTTGCACTATTAAAATCAGCCTAATAGGGGTACAGATTTTAGCGTTCACAACGCAAATACAGGTAAGAAATAGTAATTCTAGGAGACTACTTTTGGTTTGTTTAACTAGGATATTTAATATCGCCGGGATTATAGACTTCTAAAGCATAGATCTTGAACTCCGGTACACTGAAAATAATATGATGTCCATGTATTAACCAGCCACCAGCAATGGAAAGTTTTGGTGATTGCTAACGCGTGTTATTATCTTCACATTGTTTCCCATGGGTTTGTCTTGGTGACCTTCATGATGATCAGGGATATTGTTATTTGCGGGTCACTACAATTTACTCGCCGTCGCCTTTGGAACACTCGGTTGCCAACTCAAGCTCTCTAATATTTTATTGAGCTAGCTTCACAGACAGGGCTAAATTTCAGCGGTGGGCTCTAAGAAGTTCCACCATTCCGAGGATTCGCAGCTCACCAATATTTTTTGCCTGAACATCGCCAGATAGTGTCACATAGGCACGAAGCGTTCTGCAAGGTTACAATCGCATCACACTTAGGTTGAAAGTGCAACCACTCAGGGAGATACACTCGAAGTCTACGTGTAAAACCCCCAACATTCTATCGTCCAGGATAGTTAGAGGTGCAGCGGTTTACTCAAGGAGGTAGTAACCGCAGAACGCAAAGGACATGTTTAAGAGACGTACAACAACCATAAGAGAATGAAGACACAGTTTTAGTTTTTGATGCACACCCGTAAGGGAATGGCGTAGTAATAACCGCAAAAAATAATCGTTCGGCTGCAGATGACTATCTGTTTTATGGAACTTCTAATTCATAAAAACACCAATGGTAAACCCGATGGTGAATTTGATGTGAGCTATATGGTGGGCAAGATTCAAGATGAGTTAATACGGTGGGGACATAATAAGAAGA